TATATATATATATATATATATATATATATATATATATATATATATATATATATATATATATATATATATATATATATATATATATATATATAAAACAAAAAATGCTATTTTTGGAGTGCAGGTGCTCCGTACTCTGCTCTGCACTTATTGCATGTTATCCTGCACTCTGTTTAAAGACCATCTCAGAGTCACACTGATCTATAATGTTACATTTATCTCAGTTGCAGCAGATGCTATAATAAACAGCTTTGCTGCCTTTTTTTTTTTTTTTTTGTGACCTCGCTCCGTTGCCGCGCTGCTGTTTGCCGTTTGTCGCCGTCGGCTTCTGTCACCTTCCTCTTTGTGCTCAGACCAGCTGGAGGTGACATGACTCTTCTCATCTTTGCGTCCCACTTCAAGGTGCAAAGTCCTTCTGCAATCCCTTTCAAGGGCGCTGCAGCTGCATCTTAGTTACACGGCGCTGCGCTCTCCGAGTGCCGGTAAATCTGAAGCACTTAAAGGCCCTCAAAGGATGTATTTGCCATCAGAAGCGAGCAATTGTCACTGTAAAGAGATGAAAGGTTCGCTTTGGAAACGTCGAATGAGGAACCTATTTAATAATGCCTATATTGTCCACGTTACATCTAATTATTTTTGGCTGCTGGGCAGACTATGGTTGCCAATCGCAATTCAATACACCTAATAGCGGCCATGTGAGACACAAGAGGCTTTGCTTCACAGATCCAATTATTGCGACATAGATGGAAACCCCTAAGACTATTATACACTACAAGGTCCTGTGACCTAAAATCATCTCTCTCAGCTGGCCTGAGTGTGAATAACACGAGATTCCGCGCAAATATAAAATGCCAGGCTGGGCTTTGCATATTTAACATTATTAAAATGCCAGCACATTCAAAGCTCATTTATTTCTAATTTTATCTGCAACCTTGACCACTGCTGAGACATTCCAGTGGGATGGGGAGGGGGGAAGGAAGGGGGACTCTGGATACAGTCAAATCTGACTAATCCAAAATGGTGGTTGTCAGGATTTGTGAGACTTAGAAAAAAACAACAACAACACATTCATCTTAAATGTATTCCGAATATTAAATGCTCATTTCAGATCTCAGGCCTGCTCCGCTTTGTCTAGTTCGTGGCTGTCCGGCTGTGTCTCAGCAGAAATTTCGGAGAAAGTATGAATTGGCGTCTCGCTGACTAATTTGTTCCCGTTGCCTGTTTGTGTGGCTGCTGGGTTTAGATTTGTGGGGGCTTGGATAAACAAGGGGCCACTATACATATTCACAGATTAGCATACGTTCTATTTCAGGACTTTAGTGCTCCTTCCCAAGTAGTCAGATTTACAGACTTGTGTGTTGTGACTAATTCTGGTTTTTATTTACCACTGCAAGAATTTGCTGCTTCTGAACAGAATATAGAGCAGAATCAGACTTGGTGACTTTGCTGCATAAATAAAAGATTTTCATGGTGGGTGAGGTCAAAGCGCTGACAATTTGCCACATTATAGTTTGTATTTCTCGTGTTAATGCCAGGCTGTGAGGATTTTATTTGCCGTCATGAAGATTTCTTCTTGTTTTTGCTTTGTCGCCACATTAAATGTTGTAGATTTTGAAACAAATATTAACATCAAAGCAGTCAATCCTCTAAATCTACTGATTGTTGTTACCGACATGGGTGACAACAGCTGTCATTGAACAGGTTTTGGCCCACCCTACTTAGCAGAACTGTTCTAATTTTTTATTTTTTAAAAATTCAGCCTGTTTAAAATCATGCCACAGGATCTCAGTCAGATGAAAGCCCAGGACTTTGACTAGGCCACTCTGGAACCTTCATTTTGCTTATATTGAGGCATTCAGATGAGACCACATAATATTGTCCCTCTAGTTTTGAAGATAATCTAGATTTTTTTGTTTTTCCTGTTTATCCACAGCAGGTTTTGTCTTGCTTTTCACACACGACCAGTCAAGCTTGGTTTAGTAGTTAATAATGTTGTTGCTTTTTGTTTTGGGTAGGGGTGTGGTCCTCAATGCAGCTTTCGGTATCTTTTATTCATTTTGACGTTTGTCATTAAGTTGGATGAGCTGTAACTCAGTGGGAGGCAGATCTTTAAAGGATGTAATTAAGCCTAAACATAAATGAAAAGCCCAATAAAACACAAACAGCAAACTCAGGAGGGGAAGGGTTATCACTGCAGTGCTTTACGCTGTACTTTAACATAATCCATCAATCTTTAATTTTATGTCTGCTCCGCCAGCGTTTATAACTGGGCTTAAATCTTTCCCCCCGCAGATCGACCCAAAGGTGGCGTTTCCCCGCCGGGCTCAGCCTAAGGTGAGTACCCCCTCACACACGAGTTAACAGCGAGGTGATGATGTCATATATCAGCCCTAATCCCTAAATCCTGGTTGGCTAGGATAAGAGTCAGGCACGTGACCAGAAAAGAGCTGCAGTTCACTTGTTCAGCCTGACACCGTGGCCCCGTTCTCTGCTCCCTGACCTCTTTCCTGCCTCCTGAAATGACACAGACGCACTTTAGTTCCTGCTTCCACATGAGTTCATAGGATTCATACACGGACTGACGCAGATCTGAGCACACATCAAACTCGTAGAATTAGCAGGCAAATCCTTAATTAAACAGAAACGTGACACCTGCCAGCGTACGTACAGTCTCTGTGTCTCACAAAGGATGTCTTCTCGTTCTGATTGTGTTTCCAGCTTGTGACCAGGACAAAGAAGATCTTTGTCGGAGGACTTTCAGTCAATACCACCATCGAAGATGTGAAGCAATACTTTGATCAGTTTGGAAAGGTGAGTTTTTAACAAACAAGCCACAGCCTGGTGTTATCCTTCACGGAGGCAAACATCTGACTGGAATTCAAGATGGTTTTATTTTTCATACCATTGCCCTCACTGTTACACTATTTTTGCTGCTTTGTTTTCTTATAGTTAGAGTTGAGGAATTAATGCTCTATCCATCAGTTAGTTGCACAAAATGAGTCGGGCAAACGCAGTCGCTGTCTAACTTCTGTGCTGAATCTGCAAGGATGTCGGAGCGACTAGAGCAACACACATTTGCATAAACTTGCATGCAAGGCCTGCATGCAGAGAAGTATGAAGGAGGCAGCCATGATTGGGACTAAAGTCGCTGCTGCAATTTCTCTCACACAACACTTGCTTTACAAATTTGTCAGCCTGAAAGTTATGTAACTTGTGAAATTGTAATTAGTCGGGTGGATATTAGATTTGTCAGTTACATGATCGAATAAACAGAAAATAAAGTGTTAATTTCCAATTGGGATTACAAACATCCATCAGTGGACAGCTAATAATCTTAAATTTGTTCATCTTCTCTTTTACTCTGACGTGTTTTTACGAGGCCATGGTCTTGAGCCAGAAAAGGGTAGAGTGCCTTCTCCGTGTCAGGGGGGTCGTCCTGCCTCAAATGGAGGAGTTTAAGTATCTGGGGATCTTTTTCACGAATGAGGGAAGAAGGGAGCGGGAGATCGACAGGCGGATTGGCGCAGCATCTGCAGTGAAACGGGCGCTGTACCGGTCCGTCGTGGTGAAGAGAGAGCTGAGCCAAAAAGCGAAGCTCTCGATTTACCGGTCGATCTACGTTCCCACCCTCATCTATGGTCATGAGCTTTGGGTCATGACCAAAAGAACGAGATCACGGATGCAAGCGGCCGAAATGCGTGGCTGGGCTCTCCCTTAGAGATAGGGTGAGAAGCTCGGTCATCCGGGAGGGACTCAGAGTAGAGCCGCTGCTCCTCCACGTCGAGAGGAGCCAGTTGAGGTGGCTCGGGCATCTGGTACGGATGCCTCCTGGACGCCACCCTGGTGAGGTGTTCCGGGCACGTCCCACCGGGAGGAGGCCCCGAGGAAGACCTAGGACACGCTGGAGGGACTATGTCTCTCGGCTGGCCTGGGAACGCCTTAGGGTTCCCCCGGAGGGGCTGGAAGAAGTGGCTGGGGAGAGTGAAGTCTGGGCCTCCCTTCTGAAGCTGCTGCCCCCGCGACCCGACCCCGGATAAGCGGAAGATAATGGATGGATGGATGGATGGATGGACGGACGGACGGATGGACGGACGGACGGACGGACGGACGGATGGATGGTGTTTTTACTACTTTTTGCTACAGTTAGCAAAGAATATCTATGCGTTTTTATATGTAATAGCAGGGAAATCATGTACAGTAAAACACATGTTCAAGTTATTTTCTGTCTCATTAGCAACTCATTCTTTTGAGACTCATTTTACAAACTATGTTATTAGTTTTCTTCTCGTTTGGCTAGGCGTTAGCTAGCTTAGCTAACAGTGCTGCTCAAACTTCACCGTTTTGAACTATTCAACTTGAAATTATTATTTAAGGTATAAGGTTTAAAATAAACCCTCTAATTATTATTTTTGTCACTTATTCCTAACTTTTCATTCATTTTTTTTTTCTTACTAGTTATGTTTTTAGGCTCTTAGCTGAGGTGTTAGCATCCTGTAGACGACTCCTGGCGCTTTTTTAAACCAAGTATATCAGCTCTTACTTGTTTCTTAATCAAATTACCTGAGGTAGACTGCAGGCTTTCTGTGTACTCTCACACATGTGAAGGTTCACCCTGCAGAAGAACAGCTGCCTCTGGGCAACCCCAGATGTCTGCAAACCTTTTCTGCTCCAAACAGTTTCCTTTGGAAAAATTAGGAGCAAAAACCGAAAACGCCAGTTGACACTAAACCTGACTCCACATTCATTGGTGGTTTTGCTAATCTGCCACTGCCCTAACTCAAAAGTGTTTCTTTGCCTCCTTTGTTTTGCTGTTTTGCTCATTTCCAATCAAATTGCCGGGGGTTTTTCAGCCTCGGCGTTTGTCCTTCTGTAGCCTCTTTGAATGAAATTTGGTCAAAGAAGCCCATGCTGTGGAGACAGATGAGTGGCCGGGGGAGAGGGAGGAAGGAGGAAGAGAGCAGGAGGGGAGTAGAAGAGAGAGATGGCAGGGGACTGAAAGGGAAGAAGTAGCCCCCCATGGAGACAGAGGGAGGGGATCTCTGGGAAGGTTGAAGGGCAGAGAAAAAGGGAGGGATGCTGAGATGGTGAGGAGCATAAGTAACTGTTAAAGGGGTAAAACGCCACTCACTAACTGGACAAAAAGACATGAAATCCAGTCTTAACGCACTGCATTTTGAGTTACGCCGAGTTGTATTAACTTATCAAAAACAACAGCTGTGCCATCCTCCTCCTTGTTACCCCAAAATTCAGTTCCTCAGACACCATCCCGCTCCACATAAACAGCCTGCTCCTGCCCCTCTCTGCTTGTTGCTGTGGTGACCTGCCTTCGCCCATTGTCCCGCTGTAATCCAGTGTATTTTTACCCCCCACAACCCCATCCCTTCCAAAAAAGAAAAAGAGTGAGAAGTGCGCAATTGCATGAACTGAAAGATGTGTGTGTGTGTGTGCGCGCGCGCATGAAAGTGTGACAGTGTCATCGTCATGGCTGCAGAGGGAGGCGAGCTTGCATACATTTGTGGAAACACAGACAGACAGTGGGGCTCACAGGCACTGATCCAGTTGTCACAAACATTAAGTGTGCGCCTGTGCTGCTGTCGGTGAGCAGGACAGTCTGAAAATGAGCACCGCTTTAGGTTGTTGGCCTAATGGGTTGGAAGAAATTAACAGCGTGAAGCTCCTTCTGTCTTGTGTCTGGCTGGGCTTTTTCTCTCTCTCTCTCGCTCTCTTTCCGTTGGCCTCTGACTCATGCCTGCGCTATTACCATATTTCAGGTGCTGGTTCAAATTTAAACGCCTTAATTATTAGTCACGGATGCAGATTCCACGTGTGACCATCACACCCGTTCAGGTAGGCCGTGCTGACATGGATGAGCTTTTCTAAAATGGCAGTTTGCGGTTGTGTGCTGAATCAGTTTTCCTCGGTGATTACACACACTCGTATCTAAGACAACAGTCCCTCCGCGGGACGAGGGGATATTTGGACTGTTTGGACACGTGAGACCAGAGCCACATCACGGATAGCGGCAATCCCACAGCGCATTCCCGCTGAGCAAGAAGTATTCCTTGTTTATTATCTGAGCCTGGCTGCAAGATGCAGGTTTAGATGTTACAGCGCCCAGTGTCCTGTTTATTTTTTTATACTGTGGCTCCGCCTCGCAAGAAAAACACAGAATGCACTGTGCATCTTTACGCAACTCTTTGATTCTCGCTGGGATTTATTTATTTTTTTGCATCAACACGTCTCAAAGCAAACTTCAAGCGGGAGCGTAGTAATGTCGACTTTTTTTTTTTTTTTTTTTTTTTAAGCCATGTTCGACCAAACCAAAAAGTTGGAGGGTGTTTGCTTATGCAGGTTTTCCAGCTGAACAAGTCTCAGCTCCTGTTGGTGAACGTTTCCAGGCCAAGAAGACTGGGACAAGCATGTTTGTTTGTTTGAGAAATTCATCCGAATCCTGAGGTGGAGGTCTGGTAATCCCCCTCAGCCAAGAACAGTCCTCTTCTTTTTGGCTGAGGCTAAAAATAGAACTTATTGACAACCCCAGATGTGTTTTAAACTGGTGCTACCCATGAGACCATTTCATAATTAGCATTTCAGATCCTTTGTTCGTATAGCTACTAGTTCTGGTAAAGCCAGGGAATCCCTGTTTTTATACCTCCTTATCCTGCCTTCCCCACTCTGCATACCTGAAACTAGGCTACCTGATGAGGAAAAACCCGATTTAAACCCCTTAGCCCCCGTCAGGTTTTTTTTTTTTTTTTTTTTTTTACTCCTGCAGCAAAATGAGTGGATATGTTAGAGCTTTAACCAAAGAAAGAAGTGGATAAGACAGAAAATGCATCGTGGTCGTGGCAGACAGGGCGGGAGGGGAAAAAAGTTGGGACTCCGCTCACCCATGTGAGCTGGCGATTAGAAGGCTTGACTGAACACTTTGTCTGCTGGCCTGTTTAGAAAGAGATGGCCGGAGAGCCAGAGCGACAACCGAAGAGGGAGATGTGAAGAGACAGCGGGGGGAAAAAATGTGAATGCCACCTTTCATAATCTCTCAGAAAAGTTTAATGGACTTGTCAGCAAACACTTGTTCTTTGGACAATAGCCGTACGCTTCGATGGCAGTGGAGTATTTTTAAGCCCGGGCTCGAAAGGCTGCTCAGGATCTCGGTCTGTACGTTTCTGTACGTCTGAGAAGCCAGAATCTGAGAATACGGCCTTAACTTTTCTACTCTCCAGAATAACCGGTGACTCTGCTGCTGCTGCACCACCAATCTCAGACTCCCACTGCTATGCAATCAGATTGTTTTACGGCACCCTGGGAAGGGGACATCGTGAGAGCAACTTTCTTATTGGTTTTGGGTGTATTCTGAGCTCGCACACATGATTGAGTGCTTTACATGCCTGCAGAACTTGACTTGAAGCACTGGCATTTTTTGTACTTTAGAATATGTTTTGTTATTTATTTATTTATTTTTATTTATATAAACATCAAAGCCCACAAACCTAGCGTTTCATTGCCGTATCTTCATACGTTGCTAAAGCTAACTGCAAGATTAGCTGTGCCAGAGACGTATTCTTTTCCAGCATCCAGTCTTGGGTAAAACTTTGACCTCCTGAAATCTTTTTCACTGACTTTGATTTCTCATTAAGGTGTGTACTATAGTATAAGAAGAAATAAAAAACATGAAGCCATAAGAGCAGCTTTTGTTTAGGTAATGTTTAGAGGTCACACACCTGATTTAGAGGTTACTTAGCTAACGCTAACGGCAAAGCTGTCTGTTCTTGTGACGATTTGAATTGAAAGTGACTAATTTTCTGACCTGCTGTACCAGTTTTAGTCGAATCTGAAGATCGCATAAGATGATGTACTGACAGCGAAGGTTCTGGCAATGTCCAGAACTTGCATGCGTTTTTTTTAATGGTTTACTTGCCTGCATACATTTAGCTAATGAAAATTAACATCTGCGATGGACTGGCGACCTATCCAGGATGTGCCCCGCCTCTCGCCCGAAACGTTTGCTGGAGATGGGCACCAGCACCTCCTGACCCCGCTAGGGACAAGGGTGTTAGAAAATGCATGGATGAAAATAAACATCTTATTTTTTTTTATAACTTTCTAATAAACAGCACACTAAAATTTGTCATGTTTAGCCATCTGATTTTAAATAGATTAATGAATAGCAGCAATGTAACTGGAGATGGACTGAACGTTTTTGATGCTGATTTCCAATATCCAATTTTTTAAAGTTTTCAGCTGCCCAAACCCATTTACTATAAAACTGTTTTAGCTTTGTAAAGACAAAATGATAATTGTACTTTAGACCTCCAATAAGATATTATATTAGCAGTTAGCCAAGCAAGGATTATGCAAACAGTTTATGTGATTATATTGTAGAATACAGATCCTTTGAGACTTTTAAAAGGGGTTTAATGCACAATACATATCGTAGATTTATTGTAATTGCAGTGCCACTGTGCTCAGACTTTTTGCTATCTGTGGCTTATGTTTTCAATGAACCCATAAAAAAGAAATCACACACACTGTTTATCTAAGGATCAGCTTATTTAGCGCCAGTCTCATCACTGTGCAGTACTCTGCTTAACCTTCGTATTATCTACCGAAAATCTTACTCTCTCTTGCAGACATTCCTCAAAATGTCATGACAACAAATTTCTTTTAAATTGCTTTTTAATTCTCTGTGCTTTCTCTGAGTTTAATTTTTACACAATTTTAAACACCTTAGCCATACTGGCCAAAACGGCTAACACAGAATCTTATTCACTAAGTGAGAGCTTCTACACTGAAGAGTGTTTGTCCTGGCTTGACCTGGTAGTGTGCGTTTAATGATTTACAAGGAAAAACAAAAAGAAACTCTGATTTTTCTGTTTCTGACAAGCTAATCATCCAGATTTATTTATAAAACACAGAACAATAAAAAATTAAAAACATAGGAAATGGATTAAAACCTAAAGGGATAAACCTGCCTGTGCGTTCTACACATGTGCAGTCAAAGTAGGTGATTAGCATGTTAGCATGCAGCTGCCTACGTTGCGTCCCCACAGCTCTCTGCTGTGTCATTGAGTTTGGACAACCGGAAGGGCGGAAGACATGAGAGATGGGAGTGGGGGGAGGATAAAAACTGAATGAAGGACAGAGATAGAGGTTGGGAGGAGCTCTGAATGCGTGTGTGTGTAGGTGTGTGTGTGTGTGTGTGTGTGTGTGATCAGGTTATACGTTGACAGAGAACACACGGTCAGGAAGGTTGTTGGAGCAACCTTGATCCCGCGTGTGCTCATCCACCTGAAAGCGAGCATGTCTTGTTTTTCATGTGAGATAAGTGTCTGAAATTGGACGGCTGGATCATCCAGAGGCCTCTGCTGCTCATGTTACGCCGGCTTGAGTTTCACCTGATGTTGACAAATGGAAATAGCCGTGTGGTCACACTCGGCACGTGTCCGCGCTGCGCCGCACACCCGAAGACGGAAAAGTTTGATTTCGCCCAGTTGTTTGGCTCCTCTGTGTTCCTCCTCCTTATGCCGTTGGATCGCGGGCAGAAGCTGCAAACTTTCCTGCCGGTGAAGGACAAGCGAGGGAGGGAGGGGAGGGAGGGAGAGAGGCGAGGTGGGGAGGAGGAGGTGGAATATGAATAGGGCAGTGGAGTGAGTGCAAAAAGGAAAGAGAGGAGGGAGAATAAAAGACGAGCGTGCTGACAAAGGCCCTGAATCACTTTGCTTTGCATTTTAAAATTCACAATCTTCTCTAACAGAATTTCCACCCTTCAACCCAACTTTATCCTCGACTGATTTTTTGAAACCATCCCTTTATTTTTTCTCCTTCTTTCACATTTGGTCAGTCTTGTTTTCAACCCCCCCTTTTACTCTCCATCTCCATCCTATTCAATGAAATGAGTTGTGCGGTCGAAAGGAGGGGTGGTGGGCACAAGCTCTTCTAATTGAAATTCTTTACAGAGTCTCCATGGGAATAGTAAACTTTGCAGGGAGGGAGGGATAGAAAAAGACAGTGCAGGCGGACAAACGAGTGGGAAAGAACGAGCGGGGAGAGGGCTGGACAAAGTTTATGAGAAGTGAAGTGAAAGAAAGACAAACAGGGAAGAGTTTCCTCCAACTCCTCCTGATTTAATCCATTTTCACTTTATTTAATTTCTGCCGTCTTTCTTCATCGGTCCTCCCCTCGCATTCGCCTCCTTCGTCACCTGTCAGCCTCTCCCGGTCCTTTGTCCCCTCCCCCCCTCTGTCCACCCTCTCCATCTGTTTTCCCTTCTTATTCTTTTGCCGAAGTGGGACAATGGCACCCCATGCTGGGTAACGATGTGCGAGTGTTACTGTGTCCAAGCTCATGTCTTCTCTGCTTTGTTTCTCCAGGTCGACGATGCTATGCTCATGTTCGACAAAACGACCAACAGACACAGAGGTAACGGTTACACACACACACACACACACACACACACAAACCTACACCTTATGTAAACATGCGTTGACATCATGAGATGGGGCCCTGGGAATGAAAGGAGAAGCAGCGTGATAGAGTCATTAGGTGAACCGCTGCAAAACAGGCTGCGTTTTTCCTCCAATCACATCACTTTGTCTTTCCTCCGCTCTTGCCTCTCCCCTCCTGCTCCATTTATCTCTGTCCGCTCCGTGGGTGAGGGCAGGGCCCGCCGAGGGTCGCCATACAGAGTCAAGATGGCTATGGGCGATGATGTAACTTAACGAGACAAGCGAGAGGAGATGAAGGCAAACGGAGGAGGGGGGAGAAGAGAAAGAAGAGCAGTGAAACTGATGATCATCTGGGATCAGTTTTGAAGAAACCACACCCACTCTAACCCCCTTCTCTATTATTCTTATTTGTGACTGACAACCGTGGCATGCAGAGGTCACCTCCCCGCTCTGCGCTTTGTGTTACGACGACGAACGCAGAGCAAAAATGTTGATTTGATTGCTTGTTTTGTTACAAGAGGAGCAGCCAATGTTGTCGTTCTGTGTTTTTATTATTATTATTATTATTATTTTTATCTGTTTGTCTCTTTTAGGTTTCGGTTTTGTCACTTTTGAAAATGAAGACGTGGTTGAGAAAGTTTGTGAGATCCATTTCCACGAGATCAACAACAAAATGGTACGCAGCTGAGAATTATTTCCACAAAGAGGATGTGTCTCATTTTCATCTAATTGACTTCGCTTAAAACTGATAGGCAGCAATTTGTCCCAGTGCTCCTGAAATAACATATTATGTTATCGATGTATTTTTTTGCAAATCTCTATTTTTAATCGTTATTTTTGATTCACGTGCCTAGAAATAATGATAAATATATAGGAAAGACTTGCTTAAGTTCCTGCAGAGTAGTTTTCAAGTCTTTATTTAGCCAAATATTTACAGGTTTTTACATCCTGCCTATATTAGCTGGTTAATTATCCATGCAAGTCTGCCCTGTTAGAGCCTACAGTCTGATTACACGTTGCTAACTGCAGTTTTAAAATAGCGTTACCTTAAATTAGAGTGATTGGTTTAGTTCCTTTTTCTCCAATGCGCTTAGTGTTTTTTTTTTTTTTTTTTTTTTTTTTAGATAAATATTTCCAAACAGACAAATTTATGTTCTGTGAGTGGGAGGGGAATAATTGTGGCCTTTTTTCAGTCCGCTGACCAGCGGTGTGCAGCAACAAGTGGGGAAGATTCACTACTGCATTTTCTTTCACATCTTACAAACGGACTTTAATCTCTTAGTATGTTGGGAAATTGAAGCAGTTTCAATTGGTGCACGTCTATATGAAACTTACAAACTTATTTTGTGCAGATGTGTAATTTTTAATAAACACTCATTAATGTTTACCATGGTTTAGGTGGAGTGTAAGAAAGCCCAGCCCAAAGAAGTAATGACGCCGACGGGCTCCGCCAGAGGCCGCTCCAGAGTGATGCCTTATGGGATGGACACCTTCATGCTGGGCATCGGCATGTTGGGTACGATCCACAGCTAAACATACAAATGTAACCTGCCACAACTGGAGAGCTTTTGAAGTGAAACTTTGAAAATGGCTACATTTTCGTAGATATTTGCTTCAAAACTCGCAAGAATGTAAAACCTCCTAGTAATTTTAAACATCTCCCTCGTCCTAACCCTACTAAGACTGCATTGTGATTGTATGCTTGGTGCCCCTAATGCTCAACAATGGTTGAAAAAGCAGATGCTAACTTGACTGTTGCTCGTGGCTAACATCCAGACAGCATTCTCAACGTTTACAAATTGATTTTATGTTGTCTGTGACTCTCGTAGACTTTGGACTTTACATCATCAAACAAGACTAGCTGAAAAAAGTGCTGAAATTGAACTTCTATGGCAAGTTTAGCATAATTAGCAGCTAACGGTTAGTTAGTCAGTTCCTGTAGCTGTTGATTATGAACTACAGATGCAGTTCAGTCTCATTAAAAACTGTGAAATACTCCTTTATTTTATTCCTGTTTGGAAATTGTAAAGCATATGTCTATGCTAGCATGTTAGAGGATAATGGTTATCTTTTTGCTGTCCGTATTTTGCTCCCATTGCTTGCAAATTTTATCTCGTCTGTTGCTCCTGTATTTTGTGAGCTAGAAATGATCCACTGAGCACCAAGCTAGTTTAAAAACTGGATGTAACACCTTAGTTGAACGCTGAACTGTAGTGCTTCTTGTCTTAATCGTTACCCACTCATGGTGTTCTCTCAGGGTTTACAAAGTCTTCTTGTTTGTTGCTCTTTTTTTCTCTCGCCACACAAAAGTGGTGGAGCTTTTTCAGTGTCGACATACCTGACAAAACGTCTGCTGTATTTACTGTCATTAACTTAATCAATTTTAGCTTTTGGTTAACTTTCCACAATAACGGTTAAAAAAAATAGCTCTTTTCTTAAAAACAAGAGTTTTTAAGAAAAAAAACTCTAATAGACACCTCTAATAGACACACTCTTCAGCTGCAATAATGACTGAAATGCTGATTAATGCTAACGGCAGGTTTAAGCATGAGTAAATGATTTACTTTGGACTAAATATGTAAAAATGAACACACCGTCTCAGAAAAAGACGGCCAGTTTGTCTTGGATCGACGCCTTCTCTTTGGTGTCTCATTAACGATGTATGTCAGACACAGAAGTCAGAGTGAAGGGCTTTTATTGGAGGAAAAACGCATTTGAAGATATTTTCATTGAGAAAAAGCAGGAGCTCTGTTTTGTGTGGCTGTATTGCTCCCCCTTCTGGCCATTTGACGTAACTTTGCGGTCAGTCACAAAAGCTTGTAAGCATTTTATAAAGCTTTGCGACAGTTTTTAGATTGGAAATCCAGTGAAATTAGTGTCAAACATTTTTTTTATTAGTAGGATATTTTCTGTTTTAAAGTTTTTACGCGAGAGATTGATCAAGCAGATTATTTTCTCGTTTTTTTGTTGTTGTCTTGTTTTTTTCAGGCTACCCAGGTTTTCAGACTACTACCTACACCAGCCGCAGCTACTCTGGAATAGCACCCGGATACACTTACCAGTTCCCAGGTACGTTTAGTTTTAAATGTCCAACACATCTGTCTCCTTCCAGCTTTTTCAGAAGGTTTCTGAAAGCATCTGGCGATGAACAACAGCAGCCATGTTTTCCTCTCTAGCGTTTGTGTGTGCGCAAAAGCTAGAGAGCAAATCTGGATTAAAGGCGATTTGTCTTTCTGTTTGTTGGTCCAAAAGTTCACTTTTTTTTTTCTTTCCGAGCCTAAATATGACTTGTTAATATTTTCCTTTAAATTTGTACATCTGTTTCTCCTTTCCTCTTTGGTGATTCTGTTTATTTGATCTGCTTATGTAACTCCCTTTCATTTATAGCTCCTCCTTTTCCTTTCGCTCCTGACTTCCTGCCGTCCTTAAAGGATTTTTTTTTTTTTTTTTTTTTTTTTACTTTCTGTACTTGCGCCTTCATCTTGCTGTTTTGTGTGTCTGTGGCTTTGTAGTTTCTCCTGTGGATGGTGACTGTATTTACAAAGAGCTCTCTCTCTTGACCTTCTCTGTTTTCTAGAGTTCCACTTAGAGCGGACCCCCCTTCTGACATCATCCCACCCCCCTGAGCTGGCAGGTCAGTGGCTCCTTTCTCTTCTAAAGGCCAAGGGAGTGGGAAAAAAAACATTTAGCAGCAAAACATCAAACCAAACTGTTTGCCCTCGGAGTCTTTGGTGCTGAATGGAGATTAAAAACATCACAGGAGCCTTGTTTGTAGGAAAAGTTGGTGCTGGATGCAGCTTCTGATTCCAGTCAGAGCTTTGTGGCCAGTTTCTGAACTCCAGCTTTTTTAGGAACAGATTTTTTTTTTTCACCAGATTTTGATTTCTCTAAATTAATGGCATTCAGCAGAATATTTATTTTTTTCAAGCCTTGTTGAAATGTACATTTAATCTGTGTTAAGAGCTGGGGTGTTGGCATGATTAGTGTGTTGGTGTTAATAACTATTAACAACAGCCTCTGTTTTTCCTGGAACTCTGGTTCTCAAACCGTGGCTTGCGTCTTACCGGTGGTACATGGGTTTCTGCAAAGAAATATCAGTCATATTAACTTGTTTGGAAGGTGAGATAATAATGTACTTCTTAGTGTTTTGCACTTTCAAACACTCACAATCTAGTTGGTGCTATTTGTTAAAGATTAAATGAGATAAAAATATTCACAAGTGTTAAAGTATCTTTCTTGCTTACTTATTTATTATAAAATGTCACATGCCAGGGAGCCATGTTGGACTTTCCTGTTGTTCAATCCGTCTAAAAACTTGGAGGTTTCAACTTTGGGGGAAAAGTGTTAAGTATCTACGATCAAGCAGTGTTTATAGATATTATCGACATATTGAGAGGGCTTTTAAAAACCAGAGACCCACTTCCCCAAAGAACGTCGCTCTTGCCACGTTTCAGTTCTGCTGTTTTGCCTGTTTCCATTGTAATACAACCGACCCGCGCTGCATCATTTCTGGGTTCCCTTCGGTCCGTATCTTGGGACCAAACAATAGGCTTTTGGGTTTGGTATCGCCAGCTGGAGGTGGAAACGCTCTCCTGACTATAAAACAGCGAACCGAACTGACCTGTTCTGGAGAACATAGTGAAAACGAGATTTTCAAAAGGCTGCCAACATTTTTACGTTCAGCTCGCGTGTATTTGCTGAAGTCGGTTCCAGGTCACTTTGCTCCAATCAACAGTTTGGCGAAACTTTTGGCTGTAAATTGATGTCTTGTGGCAAAGCTGTTGAAACGAGCAAAACCCAACAAAATCCAACACTTTGGTGCGTCCTAAGCCAGAGGTCTGCAACTGTTTAAATTCAAAGATTAAGTTGGCCCTTTGCTTCTAGCAAATAAATTTCTCTTGATCTGTAAAACTTAGAAAAAAAAGTTAGGATTAATTATATAACTACTACATAAAATATGTGTTTCACTGTTAAATAATAATTTAAAAAAACAGTTGTATTCCTATTTTGGGGATTTAGAACAATGAAAATTTGACTTTTCCAACAAGCAGATCTCTACGAAGTACCAACCACAAGCTGTTAAAGGGCTGAAATGTGGTCAAAACCTCCACCTCTTTATATAAAACCTATTTTAGTCAATGTGTGTTTATTGTTGCTTACGTACAAGAGCCAAAGAAAACAAAGTAGCTTTGTTATTTTAGTTCAACCTCAAAACCACAGTAAATTGATTTGATCCAAAATAACACCGAGGCAAATTCCAATTTCACGAAAAAATTAGTTGTCCATTAATCTCGTTCTGTGTGAAGTTTCCATGCAGACACTAAAAATCAGAAAGTGTTGTACAGAGAGGAAGGCATACAAAATTTTACTTTTTAGGTTTCGTAAATATTTGTACATGGATGTAAAAAAAAAAAAAGAAAGAAAAAGATTAAAGTTATCAGAATGATTAAATTTTAGAGAAAATTGTGCATTAAGTATGAGCCGACACATATCAGTGTTGATTGGATGCGAAACTGCATCGATATTATTAACCGATACGTTTCAGGAGGGTAAGCGCAATTTATAATATCGGTGAATATCGGTTATCAGCCGTTATGAATATCGGATATTGATCTTGGCTCAAGTTTTCCAGTGGTTGTGTCTCTTTCTCCTGGTCTGTCCTCATGAACAGAGTGATGCTTCACATTTGGTTGACTCACGGTCAGTCGGAGCGACGGCGGCTCTGGTATTTATAACTCTTGAAAGCTCCGCTGCTGATTTGGTTCCGTTCAGGATCAGCTGAATCCTGTGTGACTAAGAAGCTATCATTAGGAGGAACGTCTGGCAGCTGCCGAACACGCTGCCCACAAAACCTGAAATAGACCTTCGGGTTTTTTTTTTTTTTTTTTTTCTGTACTTTGTGACTTTTTAACCGTGAACCTAAATGTGTTTGTTTCGAATTTAATGCGACAGTCAAAGAAAGTTGCTTGTTATTTTTGGACGCAAAACCCTAAGTTTGCTGGAATACAACACAAAACAACACTGATGATTATTTTACTGATCGATTATTCTGTCGATTAATCAGATAAAAAAAAAAAATTGGCTAATTCTGAAGATTTTTTTTAAAACCACCTGAGCTCATTTTACAACATATTAGAAATATATTTAAATAACTTCGATTTTAATAAGAAAATAAACGTTTTATTGTCAAAAATGCAATAATATTCCATTCCTTAGCTCTTCATTCAACATCGATACAGTGTAGGAATTATCTTTTGACAATTTTTGTTTTTC